GCGAAAATTTCATTCTCGCGTATAATAGAATTCCTTAAGATTATATAGAGCAGTGACCGCAATTCGTGAAAATTTTGTCTCGCTAATAAGGAGTCAATGGCTATCTCGCGAAAATAAGGTGTCGCGAAAATTAAGTGATCTACAGTAGTTAAGGTCTAGCCTTTTCACAACAGGAAAATTTTATATGCATGCCCATTAAAAAGTGTGTATTGCACACCCCCTACACGCTATATAGCTAAAAAAAAAATATAGAGTAGAAGATTTTGAATTCAGCATTAATGTATAAAAGGTTTTACTGTTTTATGCTGCGCACGAGTATTTATATCCAAAAATATTGCATAAAAAAGTGATTTTTCCGGGATTTTTTTTTCTTATTCAAAATTTTCTTATGTATTTACTCAGTTGAGGAAGAGAGGGGGAGGGAAAAAGAGAGATAATACTGCAGAAAAAGAGAACTGGTGATTGCTATGCTATCAAAATCATCCTGTTTAAATATTGCATAGTTACCTTACATTAAATAGTAGTCCATTGTATTATCGTGTATAATCAAGTTTTGTAATTGACAAAATTTCCTACCTGGTACTTTTTTCCTGTAATAATGAGTAGTATGTTGCAACTGATCTGCATTTCGCAAAGATTAATCTGGATTGCCAAATCAGGTATTGAGTATCTTTTTACATGCTTCAGGTGTGTCTTACTTAGACCTTTCAGTTAAAAATGATTATACATTAAGATGTCTTATCTTGAAATTGATTGAAGTTTTTCAAATCCGGATTGCAGATTGTGGCTACATCATTATCAAAACAAATCACACTTTAATAGAAATATGCACCATGGCACCTGATCCCATCTCTGATGTTTTGGAGGTCCTTGTTTGCTCTGCTACTATTTTGTATTGTTTTATGAACTTTTGACTACTACTTGTATACTAGTCGTTATTTCCATATGTTTCATGCAAAGTATATGCAGAAGCTCAATTAATGAAAAAGAACTGTGTCAATCTAATAATTCTTCGTCTCTCAAGATATCAATGATAGTAATATTGACAGTTACCCTAAGGTATCGTTTTTTCAATCAGTGTGATAGCACTCATCAATATTATAGGAAACCCAGTATCAATTTGTAATTGAAATCCTGTTCTAGAAGTATTTACGAGAGGTTCTTAGATTGAGTCGATAATTTAAGTTTATTACGATGATAATTTTTCAAATAATTATTAAATGAAAATGACATAATATGATCACTCGGTGCTCTCGTGTACCGTTTCATGATGTCCAACAACGCCATTGTTTTTCTTTGTCCGCTCCCTCTACCTAATACATGTACACTGTCATACACATTTCTAGATAAGATTCTGAAGATAGAGTGCAGTAAGGACCCAAATCTATTTTGTTGTCATTGCTTTACAATTTCTTCGTATGCTTTGTATGCATATACCATTACAAATGCATTTATACATAAAGAAAAAATAAACTTTTTTCACATAGATGTAAATATGAGCAATAAAATGTCTTTCTGTGTTTGATAGTACGGGAATTAATGCCGCAGATTTTCAAAAAAAATACAGAGATAGAGAGGAAAGAGAGAGCTATGGATATAACATATTCAAGCTCAAAAAGTGCAAACATTCAACTCCTCCATGGAAGAGTGAGCATGCGAACCAGTCGCATACGCTGTGTGCTTCTTGTCATGAATGGAAAATAAAGGAAAAGTTCGTCGTCAATGCAGTGTGTTAATATTGAACTAGAATTAAAAACGGCAGTATAGACAGCTTTTGACTCAATGATAAATTAAATTTGATGACAAAATGATGACTTTAAATGAGCCTGCTGATAATTTACCTCGTTTTAGAAAATTTACATACGCAGCACACGTTCTTCAGAAATCAGTTAAGAGATATAAACTCCGTATGCAAGTGATAAAGGTATATTACTGCATAAGTAAGTGAACTTGTCAATTGAACGTTAAAACCTCATCACATCATAGAACTTTGATGATAGATTACCTTTAACGTCTTTTCAAACAAACTATCCAATTATAAAACAGATGTGTCATACTCTTTGATATCTTTTATCTCAAGCTTACACTCATATATCGTATCGACATGACAAAGGAAACAACCATAATTGATTGTTAATTGAAAATACGTCGTCGATATATCTAAATGTCGAACTAAAGGCTACATCAAAATTTAAATTCTTTTCACTTCTGTTTCATATAAATACAAAAATGGGTGTGCTAATAACGGGGCGCAATTGGTACTCATGGTAATTTCATAAGATTGTTGGAAGACATGGACTCCACAAACCACATAGATATTTTATTTTAGAAACTCAAGCATTGTTTGTCAACAGAGAGAGAGAGAGAGAGAGAGAGAGAGAGAGAGAGAGAGAGAGAGAGAGAGAGAGAGAGAGAGAGAGAGAGAGAGAGAGAGAGAGAGAGAGAGAGAGAGAGAGAGAGAGAGAGAGAGAGAGAGAGAGAGAGAGAGAGAGAGAGAGAGAGAGAGAGAGAGAGAGAGAGAGAGAGAGAGAGAGAGAGAGAGAGAGAGAGAGAGAGAGAGAGAGAGAGAGAGAGAGAGAGAGAATATTTAAGATTAAAAACTGTACTGTAACAGTGTTCTCGGTGTCATTATAATCTTTATTCGTCTTGAAAATTAATAAGAAGTTTAAACAGATTTTGACGTCCAAGCAAATAATTTTTTAAAAAATAGTTTATAGTACATACATGTAGTATCTTTTTGTATTATATTGGTTTGGTTTTAGAACAATATCTAGAACATTTAACTTACATCAATTTGATAAATGTTTGTTTTCACAAATCATTTCAGTTGCATTTATTCCATGTTTCTATATTGTTTATTCCTCTTCCTTATTGTTGGACAAAAGCTTCGTTTCTGAAGCATGCAAAGAAAACATAAATATGTCATTTTTTTCTCATGTAAAAGGTGTGAAAAATATAATACAAATATATACGTCTTGAAACCGACTTCTGTCAAGGGACGGAAATGAACAAAGGGGATCATCTACTGAGAAATATTGATAAAAGTCTTTGACTTTCGTGCTTGAAGTAATGGGATGAACATTTTAAGATTGAAAAATTGAGTGATAACATGTTTTATATAAATTAGAAAGACAGATTTACAAATGATATAGTACTTGACGTGATTGATTTGATTCAACTGTTATCAGAATACATATCGATGCAACATACGTGGGATCAATGTAGTGAAAGGATATAAATAGATTATCATTATATTTTAATTGCCTTTAATTTGTTTTCTTGTGTTATTTAGTTATTAACATCCACTAATAAACGAGCATTATTTAACATAATTTACTTTTATATCTTAATCTTTGCTGTGCTTATTTTTGTTCATTTTTGACCATTTATATATAACTGCTTGCACTACAAGTGATTTTATATTGCTAAAAATGTTGAAAAACTCATAATATTAAAGTAATCAATCTGACAAAAACATTGGACAGACAAATCTGAGGGCTTCAGATCTGTGCATTATTAATACTTCGATTCATGGCCTTGCTTTTTGTTAGTTGTTTTGGACTTTACTTCTGGTACATACATGTAAGCATTTCTCTTCTTAACAAAAAGAATCATAAAATTATTTTAGCATATTTGACTTGTATATCTGATACGATATTTACCTTTCATCGGTTAAATACAGTCCAAAATGGCCTTGGAATGTCCATTATTTATTTGCACAGTCGAAAGTCAATATATTCTTGCTGTGCTAAAATACATGTACATGTAACATGTTTACAAAGGATCAGGAATAGTAGTGTGACATTTATGAAATTGAAAGAAGTCATTCTTTAAGCTTGGGAATACATACGACTTCGTACAATGTATAATAAGAGAAATATAACCCATTGCTTTGTCGGTACTAATTTTTTAATCAGAGAAAAACATTTCTGCAGCGAGCACTACTGGTAAGAGAATTGCAAATATATATTTTGAAAAATATTTTTATTGAAGATGTCATATTTGTAAACAAAAAAATTGACATTCATTTGTACTTAATTTTTCTTCTTGTTCTTCTGAACTATGACAATGCTTTTAAAAAATACATTTTTTATAAATGTTTTTGACTGTAAATAATAGTAATATTGCGCTTGTGTATTACAAAAAAGAAACAGACGGAGAATAACACAAACAGAGAGGATTGCACAACAAATCTATGAATTTTTACTTCTTTACAAAATGGAAAATCGAAAATCAAACAAAGATCAACGCTTCTTTCTTAAAATCGATGAATATACATTATTAATGACAAAGCTTTCTCATTGTTAGTGATAAATAACCAAGATAAATTGCTCCTCCTTCCAGTATAATTATATATAGTCTATAACTCACTCTATTGAATTGGCATTCTTAGATATCAACTGGCACACAAAAAGAAAAGAAAAGAAATGCTGCGTTTAACTTAACAGTATTTATTCGTTTGAGTCGCCCGCATGGTGCAGTGGTTTGAGCGTTTGCTCCAGAGTCGCAAAGTAAGGAGTTAGTCTCGGGTTCAAATCCTACTGTGGGGCGTGGGGACGGTTCCTTTAGATGAGAAATATAAATCGATGTCCTGTGTCGCAGTTGGTGCTGACACGAAAAATATCTCTCCGTGCTCAATGGCCCTAAGTGCAAAGTACATGTATATATGTAGGACAGAATTTGCAGTTCTCCACCGGCAAGTGGTCGCGCCTCCATATGAAAAAAAAATTTTCTTGACATGAACGTTTAACAATATTTAAATATATAAGCTTAAAGATTAAGCATTTGTTGATTGAGGAGGAACAATTTAATATGCTAAAGCAGTACATAATTGTTGCATATCGATATGTCAGTGCAGTTTTAAATGAACTTATACATATTGAAGAGAGAAATTAAGTGCTTAACTGAATTTTTCACTTTTATATTTCAAACAATACCTGAAGAACTTAATTCATCAATAAACTTCAACCATTTTCGTAAGAAAACACATTAATTGTAGCACTTATTTATTATTATTTTTTTTTTGTTGAGAAAATAAACTTTAACAGAAATTTTGATTGTCTTTTATAGGCATATACTAGTATCATATGAATTGGAGCAATTCTAAAATAAATTAATTTAAAGTTTCAATCAAAACAATATAGCAATTTTGTGTTCTCAGGATTTAGATCCGTTTTGATGATGGGTGTGTGATACTATTGTTTCTACAGTTAAGACGGACACTGGGGAAACAGAGCCATTTTCTTTTGCTTTTTTAAGATTAAACCTAGTTTCATTTTTTCTTTCCTTTTTGTGTTTATGATTTGTATATTCCTTTAGTTTGTTGTAATAAATAGTAAAATTTGAAGTCACAATGGCTACTGGCATAGCAAGAATAAGAATCCCTGTCAATGCGCATACCATACCTACGACACGTCCAAGATAGCATGTGGGCACTACGTCACCATATCCTACCGTCGTCATGGTAACAACAGCCCACCAAACCCCAATGAAAGCATTATTGAACGAGTTTTTGTCTTCGAACTCAACATAATAAATCAAGTAACCGAAAAATAAATTTGAAAGAATAAATACAGCTATCAGAATTCCAAATTGACAAATACTAGCCCGAACAGCCAGGTTTATAACGTCAAAACTTTTGAATCTATTGAGGAATCTATAGAAACGGCATAATTGAAGAAGACGCGCGGAATATAGGATCATGATTACATAGGAGAATGCTTTGTCGTCAATGAAGTCTGGTTGATGAATTATTAAAGAACATAAAACCCAAAATGATAAAATAGCAACTCCATCAACAATATTAAGTGACGTGCAAAAAAACTTCCTCCATTTTATCGGCGTTACAACAATACGCGTGATATATTCAAGCGTAAAGAATATGCCACAGAATAGATCTACGTAGAAAACTGGCGGCGCAGCTGTTGTTTTGGTATAAATGTGCTCTTTTTCCACCGCTGAAGTTTCATTGAAGTGGTCCGATTTGGGCCTCCGCAGATCTGGGAGGGTGTTTAAGAACAAGAGCGATGTGGAGAGGACAACCACTAATAGGTAGAAGATGTTGAACAGCTATAAGAAAATATGATAATGATCATGATTCCTGATTAGAAAGGTAGATGTGTTAATATATTTCAAAATAAGATCAACAACATATGTAACGATTAATTATATTTTTTTTTTCTCTCAATGGTGAAAGACTAACAATTTAAAGAAAAATTCGGCTATTTCTGAATTTTTTGCAAAAAAGTTCCTATATAATTTTAAATAAAAATTATTGTACACGTACGCTAGCTCGTCGAGATGAGGCAGGATATTGTACAGTTTTCCAGATGCAGTTTCGCCAACACCCCTTGCGACATTCCTCTATAGGGACATCTAGTACTTTATATTTTTCAAGATTTTTGATTTCCTTCAAAATACTCATGTCACTTTCATGTTTGTAGAAGGCCTTTAAACAACATTCACTTAAATAGCATTTGTCAATTTCCCAAAATTCCAGTTCGTTTCTTATAGTAGCTCCGCAAATGTTGGAAGGAAAATGAAGTTCTCCTGTTCTGTAGAGATCCAAAATGTAATTGAAAACATCTGGGTTTCTGTCGAAATAGAAAGAAGCTGGGGAAGATTTGACGGAAAAATCTTGCTTGAGAAAACTAAGTTTTGTACTTGGAATTTTTTCCAGAGTTTCGAAGGTTGTTTGAAATATGGAACCACCAATATTCAATAATACAGTAGTCATCCTGTATTATTTCATGTGCAAGTATTTCAAAAACCTTTGTCACATATAACTATATCCGATATTTAAAAGCAAGTGATTTCGAGAAATCGATGATGCATTTGGCACACGTCAAGAAAAAGACAAATTAAAGCATTTCTTGGTCTTTTTTCCAAATTAAAAACTTGATCGTCCCTTCTTTAGTTGTAAGGGAAAAAAATCAGGATTACATCAGTTAAGTCAATCCTTAATAATTAGTTTTCAAAAAAATATCTCGCTATTCTCCGCCGATATAAGAAAACACTGCATAAATGTACATGTAACATGATTTAAATCATGCACACCTGTAATATCACTTGCTTCCACGGTTGTTCATCCAATGAAAAGACCTCCTAAAAAGTGAATTTTAGCTGCCTGCATAAATGAAAAGAATCGATTGATATTCCTCCTAGTACTATTGAGATGAAATGTCAACAATTTTCTGGAAAAAAAAATCAATTTCATTAAATATGCACTATTCTATCTTGAAATAAATGATTTTCCTCTTTACATGTATCAGTTTATAACAGATAAAATCATCCGTTTCAAAACTCCACCTTAATTCTGAAAAATATCATCTTTCCTACTTCTCCAATTCATGATATCGCTCATTAATATTTAAACTGTAAATGAAAACAAACTGCTATATATGGACCGTTATACTATATCATCCATCAGGAAGTTTTTGAAAAGATTAGGCTTTCAATAATTCATTTTTTTTTCAGCAAATGAAAAACCGATGACAGGTTTGGTATCAGACTGCATAACGACCACCATATATATCTTTTGCTAACCACAAATCGATGGGTTTGCTTATATGTTATTCAAGCGACTGAAAAGAAAAACTTCATCTGTAACCAATATTGTATTCATAAATTTAACCTTTACGTAGAATCTATAATCATGTCATATACTGGGGAAGTGGCTATTAGTATTAGACATGTATATTTTTCTAAGGCTAATCATTGGACTTCTACAATGAAGCATATTGAGATAACGAACAGTATTCATGTTCCCTAAAACAATGCAAAATAGAAGCAGAGCAAACACGAACCTCCAAAACATCGCAGGTTGGATCAGGTGTCACATAGGTGTGAGCATATCCTGCCGACCCGTCACACCCGCCATGTGCTCCTCGCCTACAATCGGGGATAACGGGAAAAATAAGTCGTCAATTAGTGTATAAATATCATAATTGACTAACAATTACTATGAAAAATGTCATTGACTTAGTAATAAATTGTATTTGCTGACAAGGTCATTGTACTGACCATACAACTTCCAAAATGAGAAAATAAAATGAGACAGCTGAAATTCTTGTTTCATCAACTTGTTTGTCAATAATTTACCTCGTTCTTTCATAGAGCATGATCTTGCGTATCGAATCAACTAAGATATATAAACTTCGTATGAAAGTATATTGCTGCATAAATAAGGGATGTTGACGATAGAAAAATTAAACAGTTTGTTTATCATAGTGCTAGGTTGTTAGATTACCATTAACATCTTTTTCAAGAAAATATATCCATCTAGATATGAAACAGATGTGTCAGACTTTGTGGCATCTTTTATCTCGAGCTCACCAGGATATATCATATTGACATAAGAATGGAAATTTCTATTGTTAATTAACAATACGTCGTCGATATATCTAAATGTTGAGTTGGAGGCCACCTCAAGTGTTTCATTCTTTTCACAAATAAGATTTTGCACAAATTTTGCTTCATATGAATACAAAAAAATAGGTCTGTTTAATAACGAGCCGCAATCTGTACCCATGGGAATTCAAAAACATTGTTGGGAAACCTGTTACGAAGATCAAAATACGTATACAATTCAGCAAGTAATCAACTAATGCCCTGACAGTTTGTATGGAAAACGTCAGTCAGCGGTTGATAAGAATTTTATTTATTTATTTTTTTTTTTTTTTTGCACAAAACAAAACAATGAATTTGACGGATACTTTAGATAAATTTGGTTCAGCAAATTAACTTATTTGTCAATAATTTGCAATGTTTAAATATGTGGATTTTTTTTATAGAGCATGTTCTTACGTATTGAATCAACAGAGAGATATAACTATAACGTAGGTGTTACGGGTATATCACCACATAAATAAGGGAAGTTGACGAAGGAATAGTCGATGTTTTTTTCGACTGTTTATCATAGAGTTTTGTTATTAGTTTTTTTCTAGTCAAATATCCAAATATGAAGCTAATGTGTCAGACTCTATTTCATTATTTTTTTTAAAGTTTTACTGGGAAACATCAAGTCGACGAATAAAAGAGAGATACCATGTTATAGAATTTCTTAATCACCTCTTTATTGTTTAAGAAATACAGAATGTGACCTGTCGGCAGTGCAATTTCATTCCTCCTCTGGTGTTAAGGAGGTCCGAGTATTCTTTGCACCTATATTGTATTGTTTAACGGACCTTTGAGCTAGGATACTCTTCGTCATCTCCATATTATTCATACATAACGTTTTTACATAGCCGGTGAGTGTGAGAATCAAACATCTCCCTGATTCTTTTAATTAATTCTGACAAAGAGTCGAGGTCCTCTTTGTCGTACCTTTCCAATCACCCACTCTAACATCCACTAAAATTGATTACACAATGTTTGTTTGAATGTAGAGTGCTAATTGAAAGATCGACGTCCTCTAAAAATTGGTCTTTTTAGAATAAGTGATTTGCGACTAGATCCGTTTTCTTTCATCTGTTTTTCTGATAAACGTGTAAAAAATTTTATTGCTTGAGTTTAAAGATTTATGATTTAAGAACAAAGAATACTTAGAATTTTGTCTTATTATGAAATTCATAGTTTGTTAAAAATGTTCGGTCGTGCATTGTTAATGCATATACACATATACATATAAAACACATAAACAGAAATAAAACAAGAATTACCTGAAACACAATTTATAGGATCAAGTAAGCAAACCTGTTGTCAACGACGACCTCTGATGACACTGATAACTTAAAAAAATATGACATGGAGTTAACATTTTAACAATAACAAATAAACATTATTTTGCTTGCCGATATATCAAGGAAACAAAACTTCCGTAAGAGTATAACTACCTTACATGTCCTTATTTGTTCATGTGCCATTAAGTGACTCAGATTTAGTGATGTTTTATATTAACATTCCACAGAAAAACAACGTGTCTGTCCGTTTTTTCTTTTCTTTTTTTTCATTTTGCTTTTATAGAAGCAAATAGAGTCTTAAGTGTTGCCTGTCATATTTATGAGGATTCAAGTATGTATATGAGGTTTAAAGTTAAAACTTAGATTATCATGTTTAATCTGAATATGAATGGTGAGTATATAAACTCCGTATGCCCCGTATTGAAAATATATTGAAAAAATAATACGATCCTGGGAGCTAATGGCATCCCAGGTGAGGTATCAACAGAGGGCTTCTGCAGACATTTTGCCTCGATATTTGTTATATATAATTTTTGAGGATTAATTGTTTTCCAAAAATAGATGATGAAGGTTTATTGCTAAATACAATGTCCTAGCGGATGATTTTGGGTATATCTGAATGTACAGATAAAGCTCGTCTTTAGTTAACTTATAGGTCATTGAAAGGCAAAGAAAGGTTACTGAATGGCTTTTCTTGAACCTTCAGTTACTTTCAGTAAAAACTGAATTTCAGATTGGATTAAGAGAGATATAATCATCCCGTATATTATTCTGTTTTTGACAAGCTGGTGAATGATTTAGTATTTAGAAAATTTAAGCTTTAAAGGGTAAGTACTGACTCTGAGGATTTTGTTTTGATCTGGGATGTATCGATTCGACGCGTTGGTGCAAATACATTGTTTTGTTTCTTATTGAATAAACGTAGACGATATAACAAAAAGTAAGATACAGAAACAGCAAAAGTTTTCTTCTTTTCACTTGGATCTTTTTGTTCCTTGTAAATGGAATCTGCTTCATGAAAATATTTAAGAGGTTGGTTAACCAGTGAGAACAATTATCTATCATCTTAATCCCAAACAGAACAACTGATCTGAGAAGAATGATGTATTTTTTTGTCAAAGAGGATCTCAATCAATCGTTTTATAGGGGTATGGAAACTGATGCATTGTCGTTGTGTTTACAATTTTCATTTCTTTATAAAAGATAGCTTCAAATCTCATGCACTTTCTTAAAATTCAAATTAAGTAAATACGATTTCATAAAGAATCGGTCTGATATTTAATCACAAACATACCAAAATGTTTAGGAAAAATAATATGAAGTGTATTTCGAATCAAGTCAAAATGGAATTTGGTCTATTGAAATAAGATAACTTGTATCCAGCTGATATCTGTAGTCGGAACAAAGTGTCACTAAATAAAAAGTTTTCCATCCTCAAAAATTTGCTTTTTGTGCAAAATGAAATTTAATGTAAATGTGCTTATTTTGCTGACGAAACATAGACGTTTATTGATCTCTAAATGTGGTTTAATCTCGTCATCCTCTGCTTAGACAAGCATGACAATTGTCTATAAATTGGCTTGAAGCAAAAACTATAAGTAGCTGCTCGTTTTCTCTGTATATCACATTTACATGAAAAAAAACACTATTTATTGTCTATTTATTTTAGACACAAATACATCTTTAATAATCATATTTATATAATTTGTTTATCTTAGGGATAATACGCAGGGTTAAAACAAGCACAGCTGCTCCCAAGACATTTGTAAGTTTTGTATGGAAATTCTGGGCACTGATTCCGACAATCCTCGTCACTGCTACATACTGGAAAAAAGTCACACGATCAGCTGTGTGCTCTTAAATTTCACTTTCATTTTTAATAATAATATCTAAAATTTTCTAAAATGTACAGTTTCTGTTTGAAAATAATCGGATTTATGCAGTGAATACGATATAAATCCATTTATCACAGCGCCCCACGCGGTATGATGCGCGCGCAATATACGCGCAGAGCATGGGAGCAGTCAATTATTAACTACCCTCAAAGATACACGTCTTAATTTGAGTGCTGCTTTATTGGAGAAATATTTTCAAATTCTTGCAAATACTTTGTTTGGAGAGATGCCCAAGCGCAAGTCGTCCGCAACTGTGGTTACATCCGCAAAAAAGTCCACCAGAAAAGAAAAATCTGCAACCAAATCCCACCAAAAAGAGGGGGAAAATGACAACAGTACTATCCACCGCATGGAAGAGGACATTAACGAGCCTGTTAGCTCAATAGGTAAGTCTGACTACTTACCTACGCCTATTGTTAGTATCACTGATGCAT